TTTACAATAAATCTATTTTATATTAGCGATATCTTATATATTTAGGATGTGTTTTTGATGAAAAGCTTCTCAACAAAAGCTACATCCCTTTTTTAAAAATAAAAAGGTGATTTTGGAAAATTGTTTTTCCCGGATGTGGTGATCACACTTTTAGTTTGGGTTAAAAAACAAAGGGTTTTCTTTTATAAATCAATTTTTATGCAAACAATTTTTATGTCCCAAAAATGTAATATTTTTAAAAATTTTTTAATTAAAATTATTTGCATGGTTGGTTTGGGAAACATATTGTAAATAGGGGGTTTTTTTTAATGTTTTTAGAGTGGGAAAACAGTGGGAACAAAAGTAACCAAAGTTTAAACATTGAAGCTAAGTTTTTAACGAGTCGGGTTTATTTACAGTTTTAAAGAAAATTCCAGAAACCCTCATGCCCCTTGCAATCAATGGTAAAAAAAGCATTAAGCCTTAAATTTAAAAGAGCTGGAATAATGATTTATTATTCATTTAACAGGAAAATATAATTACAATATATCAAAAATATAATTACTTAGAAGAAGTACGAGCGACCATTAAAATAGAAAGAAAAGGATTCTTAAAAAGAATGCCATAAACGCCAAAATTGAATATGTTGCAGGCTCGGTTTGATTGCGTCAGTTCATGGACAATTCTGGAGGTACATGCTAGCGTTCACGCCCCTTAGCAAGCGAGGCATGGTCACAAAGTAAAACTTGACGAGAAAATTATTTGCGTGAACTGAATGCATTGTAATTGTTTAAATATCAAATACATTCACGTATATTGCTTTTTACACTGTACTGTACTGTATACAGTATACAACAATATACAACAATATCATATAAAAGAAAATTATGTTCTGAAGTAAATGGTCAATCTTTGGCTACTTTATGACTACCTGTTATAAAATTGCTTTACAAGAGAAAAGCTCGGGGAAAAATTCCTAGCAACTTTAGTACCATGTATGTCTAAGGTAATAATGTATTTATTTTACCTTAATGAAAATGTTTCACTTTTATAATTTTTATCTGTAAAACCAACAATAAAATTAACAACAAAAAATGTTTAAATTCTGACTTATGCCAGTCACATCTTTACAATGACTTTGTATTTCAGTGTTACTGCCTGGGATCAGACATTATGCTAACAAATCCTACACAGACCGGATGTTTTCAAACATGTAACCACCCTATTGTTTCGTGTGGTTATGATGATCCGGTTATGAATAACGCTTTCCTATCAATTTACAAAATGAACTCAAATGGTAAGTTCCTTTGATATATCAAAAGTATAACAAATATTTTTCAATGTCACCGAGATGTATCATAGTAATGGTTAGTTATATAATTTACATATTAGTATGTCCAGTTAAGCTGAACCATTAAAAACCTATGCATTCCACAATATTCAGTGGTTAACAGGTCGTCTTTGGTCGCAATATAAGAATCGCTCTATATTTGTACTTGTTCATTACGCATATCCACATTCAACTTCGAAATGAAGTTAATATTTGACATGACTTTATTTAAGTACGTTTACGTTGAAACCCATTGACAAGAAATAATCTTTCTATTATTATGTCAAAAAGTAATAATAATTTTCTCAAACTGTCTCATTACACAGTATGCGAATGAGTTATTTGTCACATTTGTTTGTTTTTGTTTGTTTTGATTGGGTTATACGTCACACCGACACAGTATAGGTCATATGGCAACATTTCCGCTTTACTGGTGAAGGAAAATCTGAGTAAAACAACCGATGTTCCGTACGCTAGCTGGATATATTAGTCACGTGTCATAGCTTCTCTTGATTATATTACTGCTAATCTACGACTCCGAGCCTGGACAATAACATACGATGAGACACTTAGAATAAAATTTATGTTGGAATATTTGTTTATTTCAGTGACAGCTAGTGCAATACTCTATGCACAAAATGAGGTACATAACTGTCTCGCGTTGAATCCTGTCGCCCCCAAAAGCTTTTCTTGGGCGAAATGTACCTATGCCTTAGGACTAATGTGTGCAAATGTTAAGTATATATTTAATCATTATATCATTAATTTATATTACATTTATACTAATTGTTGTTTGCAACGTCGGTTTGCACTGTAGAAGCCAGACGGTCATATGATTTATTTACGAAGCAAAAGACATTCACACACACGCACGCACACACACACGCACACACGCACGCACGAACGCACACAAAAACTAAAGACGGTGACAGGTAGCCCAACGTTTATTTCGTTTACATTAATCTATATATAGCCGGTGTAATGACCGAGCAGCTGGGCAGATATGCCTATGATTTTTGTCGCGGTCTTGCAAACACTTTTAATATTTGAAATTCCTGTGTTTTAAAATTGCATACTTATATTATACGTTTTGTTACACACAGCATGAATAGACGTACAGTTGTTATTAATCTAGCGGTGGCGAGACGGACGTTGCCTTTCATCAAAGTACCACTATGGTTTTAATTAAATGTGAACAAACTATCGATATTGTTAACGCATTGATCGAATTTTGCAATAGTATACACATACATAAACATAAACCGGGGAGGGCCGACCGCTAATGTTGTAAGAACTTGGGCCCAACCCGTTTGCTTTTGCTGTTTAAAATACATATGAAATTTGTATCTCTATTGTATATACATGTAAATAGCAATAAAATATGATTAAACTATACATAAACAAACAGACTCAATATCAAACATAAAGTATCTTAAAAAAAACTAAAAATATCGTATCTTAGAAATAGAATCACAAGGATTATGGCCCATTATTGAATTTTACGTTTAAAATTTTGAAATATTGAAATCATATGTATATGTTGGCAGTTTAAATGAAAGAATAATATACGAAATATTTAAATAGAAACAAAATCACAGTGTAAATCCATTTACGCTGGAATGTGAAAATAACGCACAATTCGTGCAAAATGTAACGCAGAATAATTATTGTGCAATAAATGGCGGATACCTGACAGGATTCCCAACGCGGTAAGTAAACTGGCCAATATATTTTTATTTAACCAAACTGAAAAAAGTAATTGTCGCATACGACTACAAAGAATTCTTAATCCCTCATCAAGGTTTTTTCCACACAATTGCTTACTTTTCAAGATCATTCGTGAAAATGATGGTTTGACCACCGTTTTGAGCGTCATTTCTGTTTTTTGTCGACTCTTACAACAATTCATAATACACTGTGTAATTTCAATTTTTGGTAGGCAAGTGTCATTTAAATTTCTGGTAACATAAAAAATTGAAAATAAGCTGATAAAATAAGATTCAAGCCGTTTTTATTAGATAACGCCGGTGTACGTGAATAGTGCTTCGCGGTAACGCCGAAAAAATGATTTTTTTCATATTTGGTACTGAATTATTACTGAACCAGGATGTGCGAATATTGTCAAGTTTTTTAAGACCTAGTCAATAAATTTTCTTCATATCATGATAATAAGATCTTGACAAACTTTCAACATTTTGAATGCAAATTGTAACTTAGTACTTACAAACTAAAATGCCCAAAAATAATTTAAATATAGCATAACCTTATTGTCCTCTGCTAAAGTTAGACGAATTATAACCCTTCGGGTTAAAGATTTACCCCCACCCTTTGGTTTTCTTATTTAATGTTATCTTGGTTAACTTGTATGGGAAAACACATATGAATGTAAGGGCTTATTTGAAAATTCTTGTGCTAGGCACAACTATAGACGTTTACAAAACTAACAGGACTAATGACCCTTAAAGAGGCCGCCTGTAGAGAGCCTGGTCACATCCATACAGACTATCCATTTGCCCACTGGTACAAATACATTTATATCTAATAACAATCTCTGAGACTTTGAATGAACTGTTCCAAATTCACAGCTGAGCAAAACCATTTCATAAATATAGCAAGTTAAGGGTGAAATAGACTATAAACATGTTGAATATATTTTGGTTACTTATTCATGTACATGTATATGGAGAGCTACTAGAGATTTGTTTGTGGAAGATTTTATTTATCCATGCCATGAAGGTCTAAAAGTGGACTTATTCATGTTTATTATGTCAAATAATTAATAAAGAGTGAGAACAATGAAAATTTCTATAATTTAACAAAGGACATAACTACCACCTCAATATAAATATATACAGAGGAGAAATTGCTATTTCTAATAAACGGTTTAAACCCCGTTGTTTCCTTGAGGTAGAAGATTATAGCTCTGTGGTTTCAGGAACTGATTCGAGACTGTGTCTTTATTTTCAACGAAATCAAACTAAGATAAATTCTGTATAAAATGAATTTAAGTTTCCCTACAAAAATATATTTGAAGAGTGGTTATACTCGCCGATTAATGGCGTTTTACCAGTGTAACTGTATAGTACAATATACTGCATTTTTATTATTGTGATTGTCGTTTTAGCTCAAAGAACAAAGAAAAACATTTAAGTAATAGAAGTTTATCAAATCGAAATTTTAATAGATTTTTTAAATGACAACGTTTTGTCGGTACGAAATACCTGAATAAACGGAATTGCAACAACTTTGGAAATATCGAAAAAAAAACTAAAATCCGAAAAAAGAACCGAAAGTAAGCTTTCTTATCTAAAAAAAATACGTTGACAAACAATTACAATAAAAAAACCATTCAATCGATAGCGGATATATAAATACTTCATTATTACGTAAAATACATGAACATTATAAAATTAGCCTTTTTTTCCATAGATAACTGATAATACCGGATAGGATTTCATAAGTTCGTTTTTTATGTATTTTTCGCTATTTTCATGCGCATGAGTAAACGGGATCGTGATTGTAATTGTCAATGGCGGTTTCGTCAATTTTTGACAAAATTTATAACTCATTAAAGCAGTGTAAAATAATCTGTAAGAGTACGCATGGTAATATAGGGTTATATTACAAAGTAGGAGGAGTCATGGTTAAACAGAACTTAAATATAAGTATCTGAAACTTAACTTGATAGTGAAATGATAGTAAAAAAACTGGGGAATGTAGATAGTTCGTTTCCAGACCCCTTTAGATTAATTAAAATTAGACGCGTATACCATGTCAGAAAAATCCTTTATGTTATTTTACTTATTTTACAATGGCCAATCATGTTCCGAGGTTTCGGACTGTTATTCTAAAATTTACATATATTCAGTTCTTCCCTGTAAGTTTTACAGGAAGTTCAACCGAAAATAGACGGCTTCCGGTAAAAAAAAATGATTGGATAAAACTAAATTAAATAACAATTTATTACGTCAGCTTTATGTTCCAGTTTTATTTTAAGAACTTGTTTATCCTGAGGAGTACAGATAATAATTATCAGTCTTGCTCTTGATATTATTGCTAAATATTCATCCAAAAATGAAGGTTATATATTGAGAAAGCATTAAATGAAAGTTTACATAGGACCTCAACTAAAACTCAAAATACATTTCTTTTGTTGATTTTTTATTTCTGAGTAAATTGATTATTGACTCTATTTTTGTATATTATTATTTGTGAAGTTGAATGTTTTAAGTGTACACTGCTTGCTGCAAAATTATGAGGTACTTTTAATGTTGACAGAACAAAGCAAATGAATTGCCTGAGTTTTGAATGAGTTTTTACAGGCTTAAGTGCCTAAAATGTTTTTGTTTGTTATTATTATATTTTTGTATTTCATATTTATATTTTGTAAATTGGAAATGAATTGAATACTTATTTGCTAAATGTTCTTACAAATATATTTCGCTCATTTTTTTCATCTCTTAAATAGGAGCTCGTGTCCAAACTTTAAACCGTACACATGAAAGTCAACAATACTTTACATGGATTGATGCAGCGAATGTTTGTTTTACAAATAGAATGTTTCCAACTCATTATACTCATTATTCAAATGCAAAGGATGTACATCAACACGGCGGATCTCAACTGTGGACTGGGATGTTTAAAACAAACATAGTTTACAAATATGATTCATACATTCCTGGTGATAAAACTTTTTTATTACAACTTTGATCAAAACCCTTTTTTCCCCAAAATAATATTCAATAGAAAATAACTTGAATGACGCATTATAATCGTTTTAGTAAAGAGGGGAAACAAAACACATAATTTAATATATTGTATGTTATTAAGTTTATCTTTCATAAATACGTATTATGCCAAGTCAGCAATTGTTAACAACAATAATGGTGAATTAAACAAACTATATTTGTTTGCACTTGCAAACAAACTACTTATATATCTGTTAATTATTTGATAAATATACGTCAATGAAATTGCTGCACTATTCATATTTCAGCTGAACGACGTGAGGATAAAAAATTTTATGGTTACTTAACTAAAACTGTTGAAGACGGAGTGAAATTGCAATTTACAGAAGTAAGCTCAAGACATAGAAGACTCTGCGATGATGGTACAATTTAAATATAACGTATCTTATTTAAGTGTAATTAATAATATAAAATTATAAATAAAACGTCACTTAACTATGTTTTTCTTCAGCTGTTCTGAATAAACAGCGCTTGTGGTTAGCTTGTGATTTCCAGTTGAACATCGCTCTTGTGGGCGGCGTCCGTCGTCAATTGTGATTGCCATTTGTGCTAAAATCCAATATTCATCTTTTTTTTATAAAGACGCGAACTTGATAATAGGAGCCGTGTATATACCTTCAATACAATCTCGTTTGTTTAATTACAATACATTATTTCAATTTTGAAAATTCTGTTTCTGATAAATGTTATTTGTATCATTATTATAAAAATTGTATCCTCATCGGTGATTGTCACACAAAATCTCTACCAAATTATGTTAGCTTTGACAATTTTAACAAAACATATCGATTATTATATATCGGTATTAGATGGGTCTTTTCTTAGCGAATTTAACTGTAGAAAATAATTTCCAAGCGAAAAGAAATTCTTCTGATAACAAAATGAACGCAACCGGTTTAAGACTTTTAAACTGTGTAAATGTAATAACGTTTTTATTGCAAACGGTGGAATGTGTGAAGATATGGTATTTGGTAAATGCACTTTTACAGGGACTTCCATAATTAACTATGTTTTTTTTTCTTCATTTTTGTTTTATTCTTTCCTTAAATTTTCAAAATTGTTAAAGTCATGATGTAGACAGACAATTTATTTTCTAACGGTAATAAATACTACAAACAGATAATGCACACTTATATGTTTAAGCATATAACTCGAATGAGCGAAAATGAGAAATGTATTATAGACGCCCAAGGGATTTTTATAAAAATTTAAAAAAAAATAATTAATTACAGAAAAGACATTTCATAATCATTTTCAATTGGTTAATTTGAGGAGCACTTCTCGCAATAATTCTGACATTGATATTGGAAAATGTAACGACAATGTCCTTACCTATCTCAAATAGTTGACGTCACTTTCATTTTAAGCGAAAATGAGTTTTGTTTCTCAAAATTTGCTTACTGATTTTAATCTTTGTTGCTTTGAATGGAAGATGACCGTGAATATTTTATAAACTAAGATTATGTTTTGAACTAATAAACCAGTCAACTTCAGATTCCATTTAGCGAGGTTTAAATGTTGAAAAAAAAATTAAAGATTATAAATATATATACTGACGATAAAAAGAAATTGTGAACTGTTATATTTGTTAAATTTTCGGGATAACTTGGATTAACTGTGAATTTCTTTCAATCTGAGTAATCGACACTTGCCTACATATTACACTTAATTGACTTAAACACCGTTATGCAACTTGTTGAATGTGTACATCGAGCGATATGTTTCTCATGTTTTATTTGTAACTAACCAATTTACTGAACCTTTACGCACTAAAACATCACATTTTAAATTGAATTTGACTCGATAACAAGTTGTCCTGGATATTAGAAAACAATGTAGTTTAAGCTCTTGTGCTTCTTACGTTGGGAAGAAGCGTCACTGCACTGAGGTTGTGGGACAGTTAAACTGCCATTGCAACAAAATTATCAATCTGCGGCACCGATTCAAACAATCTGGAACCGATAGAGATGTCAGGTAGGCCAAAGGTAAAGACTGCATGTTAGGACCGATTCATTACGTTACCGCATCTACACCGCTACAAGTACCACAAGAAAATGTGGCATACCTAGACAAACTGTTCTGAATCGTTTGAGCAAAAATGCAAACCCAATCAGGACCAGTCCATACTCTGAGCTCAACGCCAGTGGGCAAGAAAAATGTTAAGCAACTCACGTTTGAGTGTTGCAGATGGCAGAGTACCCGGTTTTCGCCGTGCCATCAATGTGAGCGTTTTGCAGAGAATTGCTTGTTGGGATAGGTTCGAATTTTTGGTTCCGGGTGGGATAATGGGCGACAGAAAACAAATTCATTCCTGGTAATCTGAATGGAATGGCAAAATTTATATTAACAGGGTTCTTCGTCCAGTGGTCGTTCCTTTTTTGCGTCATCACCAATGTTTCCTTATGCAGGCCACACAATAGGTTCACGCAAAATTACCTCGGCGCTAGAAAATAAAGATTAAGAATATGTAAATTATTCTCAGTGATGTATGAAAATGTAAACACATTTGGTTACGTAAAACAAGATTTCGAAAACGTATCAACTCCTTGGAGCAATGAAACATTCGTGAAAAATGGTAATTTCATCTTCAAAAAAGGAGTTAGTAATGCTTAATTAAAGTTTTATGAGTGAGCTTGTCATACAAATTGTATTATGTATCAGAAAAAGCTTTTAGTCCATTTTTCATCTTTTCTTGTTTAAAATCTGGTAGTTCTGAGTAAAAAAATCAAATTTTTTGCTCATTCGAACATTTTGACCTCCATTTGTGATCTTCTCCGTTGCCATACTTAATTACCTTATAATGGACAGTTGCAAACATAAAGTCCCATACTAACAAATGTATGCCCTATTTTTCAATTTTCATGTCATGAAGTTTTTTTAATAACTCTGAATATGTCCTAGAGCTCTTATGATAACTTTTGTTTCTGCCGATGTGCTTCTGTGCTAATTATTACGGCATGTGTCTGTGATTTTTATAATTCAATAAGGGTGTAAATCAGTATGAAGCCTAATACGCTCATCCTCATCAAAAATTGGTTATATAATGTTGCTAATATTTTTCTAATAAAATTTATGCGAATTAAAAATTGACATTATAAAACCGAACGAATGCACTAAATATCGTAGATTTTCGATTTTCTGAGACCTTTGTTCCAAAAGAGACAAATGACACTGAAATTGAAATACAAAATTTATATAATTTCTAGACAATTTGGACTTTCTGAGACCCTTGTTTCCGAGACAGTCAAAAGGCATTAAAATTAGAATTATATAATAAATAATATATCGAATAAGAGTTATAAAAAGATTTATAACAATTCCGACTTCTGGGATTCAGGTTCCCAGGAAGTGAAAATGGCACTAAAAAGGTACACATGAGATAAATAGAATTTCTATTTAACTTTAAGAGGTCGTTGTCACCAAAACTTGAAGGTAGTGAATTCCCTCAAGGAAAGAAAATTACATGAATAGAATATAAGAGGGAAACGTGCAATTACATAGTTACAGAAGCCTAAATGATAATTTATACGTGTGATTAAGTGCCATTTATAACATAACGATATAAAATATGTCATAAATTTTGTACTAAATGTTTGCTGAAAGAAGTCACTTGACTTTGTTAATTTGATGCATATACATGATATATTTTTTAATCAGTAGAAGGCTTTTATGTATTTTTTTTATTAAACAATTGATGATTCATATTTTATTTCACTGTTAATCAAAGTACATGTATAAATTGTTATGTTTTGGTTGTATTTTACTGATCTCTTCATCGATTTCAGGAAAAGAAGTTAAAAATGAAAAATCAACTCGTTCAACTGCCTATCTTACTACCATTGATGGAAACGGTAAGTTTTAGCATTTCGGACTTTGAACGCTGTTATAAAACTTGTTGCTCGTACATCGAGCGATAAGTTTTTCATGTTCTATTTGTCACTGTAACATCACATTTTAAATTGAATTTAACTCTTTAACAAGTTGTCCTGGTTTTGAGAAAACGGTAGATTTCAAGCTTTTGTTATTCTTACGTCGGGAAGAAGCTTCATTGCACTGACGTTGTGGGTCAATTAAACTGCCATTTGCCATTGCAACACAATTATCAATCTGCGGCACCGTTTCAAGCAGTGTGGAAGTGTGAGGGATGGCTCTCTTTCAGGTAGGCCAAAAGTAAAGACTGCATGTCGGGACCGGTTAATTACGTTACCGCATCTACGTAACAGGTTTTAAACCGCTACAACAATCACAACAAAATTTTACATATCTAGACAAACCGTTCTGAATCGTTAGAGCATGAATGCAAACCGAATCAGAGTAAGCTCAACGCTAATGGACAAGAGTATTGTTAAGCTTCTCACGTTTTAATCAGAGCGTTGCAGATGGTAGAGTATCAATTTTTCACCATCGATGTGAGTGTTTTGCAGGCTTTTGCTTGTTGGGGCGGGATCAATTTGATGAAGACAGCGTTGTGGTTTGGGATGGGATAATAGGAGACAGAAAAAATCATTCCTGGTAATCTGAATGCCAAAAATTATATGAACAGGTTTTTTTATCTGCGTTAGCACCAAAGTTTATTGATGCACAAAAATGCCAGGCCACACACTGCTAGGCTCACTCAAAATTACCTCGCCGCTAGATACATCGTTAACGTGTCACTATGAATCGATTTTAATTGAGCACATATGGAATCTTCTTGGACAGTGTGCAAGAAGGAAAAAATTGAGTTTTAAAAACACTTGTAACCCTACACTTGCCCTTGAAATAACAGAAATTGAAACATTTACAAGATTCTAAAAAAGAAAATTACAAATAGTTGACAAAAATGGGAATATCACGTTTCATCCCTCATGCGTTTTACGTGAAAAACAGAAGCGGTTGTCTTTGATAATGACAGAAAACACTGAAAACACGAAGTATCTTTAAAAGAGATACTCTGCGGAAGTCAAATTTGTTAACCTGCATAGGATAAGCAACCACCAACCATGCTTACCGCAAACGGAACATTTTATTCGTCCTAAATAGTTTAATTTCAGTTAATTTTTACCCGCAATGTTTTTCCCCATTAATTGTCATCTAAGATTTAAACAATATTATTTACATTATTTGATTTAAATCAAAATGGAATTTGATTTGAATAGGAATTTATTATAAAACATTCAGTAGATACTCTTTTACTAATTCCACGGAGAATTTTGCAACTAAAAATGTGTCGAAAGTTCGTTAGAGAATATAATGACTAGAACAGCTTAGAAGAGAAACCCAATCGAACGCAAAAGTATCAAATAGGCGATTTGTCATTTTTAATTTCATATATTTATTGAAAATCTGTTAGAAACATCTAGAAAATATCATTATTGTGTTTTTGTATTTTCTGATCGCAAGATCAGTAAATACATAGCTTACATCCACGGTCTAACACAAAATTTCCTAACAGTCCTAACAACGCAAAGTAGTTCTTACTCAAAACTGCTTAAAAACCAGCAATTTAAAAGACAGAATAATTTTTAATGTAGGCATTTAACGAATTACAGTGCATTGAAAGTTCAGATTAGTCAATAGAAATATGAGGTTACAATCACAAATTTCGCGGATGAATATCATTTTATTCAATGAAAATGCTATTTTTAGCTATGTCGATTACTGAATACTCCAGGGCGTAGTATACAAATAAATCTGACTGCCGAGTAGTGGAATATATACATGTTGGACTGTTTTGGCGAGAAGATTTTCGCTAAATTTTTTTTATCAGTGTTAAACAGGTTTATCGTGAACAAAATACCTCGAAATTGATATTGTTTGGTTTTATTAACCTGTCAATTACATACTGATTACGCGGTCGATGCACACAGTATGTTAATCTTCGGTAGATGTTCGGTAAGTTCCGTGAGAAGTACTAATTTAATTTGTATCTCTAAACTAAGTGAACTCAGCGTTATAGCGCAATAGGGTAAATCACGAGTTTATAATCTAAGTGCCACACGTGTTTTAAGTTCGAGGCCTCGTTGGTCCATGTTTTTTTTTCTTATTAATACTTTCAACATTATTGAATCTATATATGATTATTTTATGTTGTTCGTTTTGTTTGATTATGTTTTACTTAATTTTGTTATGAATATACTCTTTTTAAATAACATGTTTTTTTAAGAATTCATGTTTAAAATTAAAACGGATTAAAATCAATAAATGTCATTTCAATGCCGTAAAACACACTACAAATCTGTTCTATTAAAATATACTGCAAAAATAAAGAAAGAGTACTAAAACGATGGCAACAGTAAGAATCGAACCACAGACCTCTCAATTATCAGGCATTCTCTTTACCGACTGTCCTACTGTGAATTAACGAAAACTTTCACATAAAGCTGGCGTGACTTTCAATCGATGACTTATATACTCCACATTAATTCTCGTAAATTACACGGACCAAACCGAAGTGGGATCGAATATTTAAATGAGTCCTATAATGTATTCAAAATTGACAGGTCAATAAAATCAGACTATAAGGATTACAAACACGAAATGGAAATTCTCAATTTAGAATTACAATGTATTTGTTTTTATTCAGGCTACATATTACGTATTACTTCACCGTGGTGCAGGGGTATCGTGCTCGTATCGCGCTCGTTTAGGGTGTGAGAGGCCTAAGGTTCAAATCCTAGTTGAGGCAACTTTTTTTTGAAGTGTCTTTTTTAAGGAAGTAGCCACGATATGCAAGGATAAAGTGTGCCTGTCATAAAAAATGATTTTTGATGCAACTCTAGTCATGGAAAATTCCATATGTATCAATCTCAAACTGTTATAGAAAAAAATCTTAACGCAGTCGCTGCGTAAGATGAATTATAGTATATAAAAATAAACCTATATACGAAAATACATACAGATAGTCAGTATGATTTAGATTGCAAAGATCAGAAAATACCACAGAGCTTGCAGCCCTTTGATTATATTATTCTGACTTATATCTTCTTCCAACACTTCTTGCCATCGAGTAACCGTACAGTTTGAAAGAACTCTACCTATAAGTGAGATCTTCTTAAGTATAAATCGAACGTAAGTGTTAAAATGACCTATGAAAATTCTGCCTATATTCATTTCTTTACTGTTAAAATTATTTTATTTTCATTTCTTTACTGTTGATTTTAGTCACGGTGAAGTCAGACGGCCTTCGGCCGAGAAAACATGTTGTAAAAATGTCCAACATCTGGCGTAACGAATTTTGTGTCAGGATTGGAAATATTTTATTGTTAAGAGCTTCTAATCCATTTGTAATATAAGTTTCTTGGCATAACTAAAGCTCAAACAAAAAAAAACGAAAAATTGTTACTATACGAGACTTGTTCTGAAGACAGTCAAATTTGTACTAAAATACATACATAAGAGATGTAATAAAATAAAGAAAAATTGAAACCTATGACTTTAAAAAACGATTGGGACTTTCTTAGAACCTTTTCCCAAGACAGTCAAATGACTTTAAACCTTACTACAATACATACGAGATCTAAAAATATTTAACAAAAAATATAGAATTTCGGACTTCTGACACCTTTGTTCCCAAAGTGACAAATGACATTAAAATTACAATACATTAGATGTCGACAACATTTATATAATTTCTAGACAATTATGACTTTCTGAGACCCTTGTTCCCGAAACAGTCAAAAGCCAGACAAATTAGAATAAATGAATTATCAAATAAGACTCATAAAAAGATTTATAACAGGAAAATATTAACTGTATATCAATTCTAACTTCTGAGACCCAGGTTTCAAAGGATGTGAAACATAAGATAAAACGAAATTCTATAGGAATTTAACTTTAAGAGGTCGTTGTCACCGAGACTTGAAGGTACTGAATTCCCTCCCGGATAGAAAATTACTTGAACAGAATAAAGGAGGGAAACGTTCATTTATATATTTACAGAAGCCTATTAAATGATACTTTTTGCATCTGATTAGGTGCCATTTATAACATAACGATATATAGAATCTGTCAACAATTTTGTACTTAATGTTTGCTGAAAGAAGTCACTTGCCTATTTTAATTTGATGCATATACATGATATATGTTTAAATCAGTAGAAGTTTTTTTACGTTCTTGTTTTATAAAACAATTGATGTTTCATTTTTTATTACACTGTTAATCAAAGTACATGTATAAATTATTATGTTTAGGTTGTATTTTGTTGATCTCTTCATCGATTTCAGGAAAAGAAGTTAAAAATGAAAATTCAAGTCTTTCAACTGCCTCTCCTCCTACCATGGATGGAAACGGTAAGTTTTAGCATTTCGGACTTTTTTGAATTTTTTTTGCGATGTATTGACAGCAGTGAAATATTGTCATGGAACATAGAATAACAAACCCCTGGTATAAATATATTCATCAGATACATTATGAAATTTAATTTTGTTAAGAGAAGAATCTAGTCCATTGTATTATATTTTATAAAACCTGTATTTAAAGTGTATGTATTATAACAAAAATCCATTATGACAGATACATTTTCTTTAATGTGAACTAGAATGCTTTTGTTCGAAACATTGGTACCATTCCGTTTATTGTAAAAGACTAGATTTTGCTTACGCCAATGCTAGGGATTGAGAGATTTCTCTTTGCATTATCTGTCATGAACATATCTAATCGAACAAAGTCTGTATTTTACCCGTAAATTATTGTTTGAATCACTGTCAAGGAATTTCCTTTTTTTCAGAATGTAAGTCGAAAAGATTCAAAATTTCTTGAAGTAAAATATGTATTCAAATTAAATATACACTCATCCATTTCTAGTCAAACTGCCAGAGTGTGTCGCTTGCTTTGTTTTCATAGTTTAACCAAATATAAAGTATGCATGTAGTTTTGTGGTAATGTATATTTCCATTGTAGCCGAGAATTCATCTGCAAAGTACGTTATAATCGGAGTTTGTGTGTCTGTATTACTGCTTTCTTTGATCATAGTATCGCTGGCTTGTTTCTATAGACACAGGTAAAATATTTTTAGACTTCAGCTTCTTAAAAATGATCGCAAGAATATTTAAAGGCACGTTATTCCTCAAAATGTAAACATTTTTCATTTAATTGATTCCTTTTTATGTTTTTTATAAAACTTTCTTCTTGACATTCTTATGATGACCTTTTTTTATCACGTTTGTGACTTCCTAATACTTATGACAATGTTTATATTCATGATTATTCTTTCTTGGCATTACTTACGATGTTTATGTTCATGTTTGTGACGTATTGACACTTCTAGCGATGTCTCTTTTATATCTATGATTTCTTAATACTTCTAACGATACCATTTTAATGTAAGTAGCTTCATGCCAATGATATCGATGCTTTTTCGTGTTTCTTCTTTATATTTCTTAAGATGTCTTTTCAATGAGTGTGACTTCTTAACTCTTGTTTCCATTCCTTTTTCATGATTGTAACTTATAGACACTTCTTACGGTGTCAATTTGAATGTTTATGACTTCTTCACGTTTTTTTTTGTTTCTGACGTTTTTGACCCTTCTTATGATGTTTTTACTCTAAATTTGTAACTTACTTCTTATCATTTCTTTTGATGCTTATTTCATGTTTGTTGCTTTTTGACGCTCTTTTGAGCCATTTTATGTTTGTGATTTCTTGAACATTTTATGACGATGTTTATGTTACTTGTGGCGATGCCTCTTTTCATGTTTGTGACTTCTTGATTGCTCTTTCGATGCGTTTTTTGTAATGTTTGTGACTAATTGATTCTTCTCTCGATGCCTTTTTTTAATGTTTGTGACTTCTTGGCACTTCTTACGACTTATTCTGTTTATGACATCTTGAAACTTCTTGCGATGATTTTTTATGTTTCTGACTTCTTGATTATTGTTGCAATGCCTCTGTTCATGTTTGTAGCTTTTTGTCACTTCTTACGATGCATTTTTTCATGTAAGGGATTTTTAAATATGGGTTAGATTCATTACAAATTGGTGATAAAGAAATAAATGTTCGAAAATAAATAAAAACACTAACAGTGTCGACCAAGGAATAGAATAATTACCATCTTTTCATAAAAGACTTGTCAAGGAACATGTTTTTGATGCCATGGTTCTTGAGAAAAATATCTGTAACAGTGGGAATAATTTAATTTATATATAAAAAAAAGCTTTGGTAATGAAAACGTTCGAGAAATGTTAAATATTATCTGACCGAATGCTATGTATATTTTCTAGGGGAAACGTCCGTGTTATTCTGATTAAGAGAATTATGAAGTTAAATGACTTTCACGCCCTAAATTAATGTGCATTTATCACGCATCATATTGCTTAATCATTACAGAGGCACGTGTAATATGCAGTTTCAAACATATCTGATAATAGAACTAAATATTGGGCGGACTATAACGACATTATCTTGCTTTTTTCTAAATATATATAAATAAATAATTTATGAATAAAAGATGCTTCTATGAACCTGTAAAATGTGCTTTTTGTTGTGACAGAATGACTACAAATGTATCGAGTCAAGCGCATTACATATCACCCACATTTTCCACAAGAATTTATGAGAATAATGTAACAGTTACGGACAATGATCGTAGAGGCGTACAAAATGAAAACAGTGATTTAACAAGTCAGCATTATTACGCCACTCCAACAGAAATTCATTATGAACAGAATCAGGAATTGCAAAGCTTCAGGAATGCAACAAGAGAAGTTAACCACAAGGAGGATCATGACACTGAAGAACTAACAAATACAGGGGCATACGAGTCGTTGCAAGAACGCAAATAAAGAGATGCACAACTATGAAATGCCTACTAATGTAGCGTACCAGACAGGGGCATACGAGTCGTTGCAAGAAGACAATACAGAGATGCACAACTATGAAACGCCTACTAATGCTGCGTACCAGACTGTCGATGAGAGCATGATAGATGATCATGAGTATAGCATGCTTCAAAATTAGATTTATGATAATTTTGTGTTGATCATGATGATGTGAAAATGATGACGATATTATAATTATGATTATGATGTGGTGATGATGATATATTTATGCTACTATTGTGTTGATGATGATGATGATAATGATGATGTTGATGAAAATATTATCTTGGTGATAATAATGCGATATTGATAATTGATATTGGTAATTTGATGATAGATATGATGAAAAAGATGTATAGAATGTCATTTGGATGCATGTATGTTATGTATGTTATGGCCGTTAAAAGGTATAAAGCTAAAAAAATCATAGAAAATATTTTTATAAAAAATTGTTATCATTATAATTATATTGTAAACATACTCTCGATTCTTTAAAGAGTTGTAGAATGTCACTGTTATTTATAACACGTGAACATGGTACGTAAACAGAATGACATTTTCTCAAACAAAATATTACGATGCTAATTGTAAACAGGATTTAAACCATTTTCTTAGCAATGATTGTGTGCATGTGCTATTCGCACTTAAGGTTAAATACTTTTAAGCATGTATTTCTTTCCTACAGGCAATTAAGTGAAATTTATCCTTAAAATTCAAGCAATATTTTTGCAGCAGATATATAGGTTCATACACATTAATAACAGACACATTTACTTTATTATTATTTTCATCACCATGCAAATTATGTGCACGTATAAACATCACTGTTTAAATGTAGATATTGTTTTTCCAATCATTAGATTAGGAATCATATTTTTTTTTCTACGTTTCACCATACCACAATTTTTATCACTGTCTTCCTATTGTACTTTCTTTGTGTATTTATTAAGAAAATGAAGAACATTTTTTCATAGCCGTTGCTTTTACTTTTTTTATTTCTGTTATAATACTAGATGCATTTTTCTGTTGTCAGAACATATATTTTTCCTTTAATCTAAGTCCAGCTTCAACATGTTTATACTTAATTTTTGATGCTATTTTTGATACTCTATGAAAATTTACACAACTCTTTTTTTTAACGTAACATGTGCGTTATTATTATCATTTGTATTTGTTGAAATTGTTTATAAAAAAAACTATTTATGGACTCCACTGGAGACTGGAAATATTTTTCTGATGTTTTGTTACCAAATGATTTAAATCTGGACCAATAATTTGTGTACAAATTCTCAGTACAGTTCCTCGCAAGGGTTTTCAGAAATAATAATTTGTATTGTGCGAATTGACCAAAAAATGAAAAGCGTTGCAACGCTTTTCTCTCCAATTCGAATAAAATTGCATATAAATATATTCTCTTTTTAATATTGAGTATACTTCATTATTAAATTTTATAGCTATTTCCATTTTATGTAATTCAATGGATATTTGTGAAATGTTTAAATTTCATGTGTTAGGCCTTTGAACCTTAGTGGGGTTATATTTTTCTGGTCCTTCGGGATCATTGATGCCAGCACTATTAAGTGATGAGAATTGAGTACGCTTAAGCCCGGTGGCTAGGTTGGCAATGAGGGATTGCTTGCCAGGTATTCATTATCCCTCATTGAAAGGACTCAATCAAAGCAGTCTGCAAAATTTCTTGTAATTTTGTTGTGACTAATGCTTCCGAGGGATCACTTTGTTTTTAGATTTTTTTCCTTTAAGCTCAATGATTTGTTGTGAAGGATAAATTGTTAATCACTTGAATGAAATATCTTTAGCATAGTTAACACACGCAAAAATAACAAAAACAAGGATATCTTTTCTCAATGTTGTTTTTACTACTGAAATTAAATTACATTTACAGGTTGATAAAATAATATTTTGTCCTGGCAAAATTTTTCACTCTTCGTCGATGTTTCATATATAGAGAATATTGAATGTAAGTAAGTTCAATACTGACTTTACTTGCGAGCATAATATCATTTTTTTTTCAACGAGTTCAATTAGTTTAGGAATGAACACATACAAATGTAATATTATATTTATCATGTACCCAAAATAAAAACTGTTAAAAGTGAAAAAGAATCATTTTTCATTTACGCTCCTATAGTGTAACGCTAACATTTAATGAGTCTTAATACAAGACACTAGGTTTGTATAACGCAAATAACATCACGAGAAAATACATACACGGACATGGAATACCATTTTTACAGAGTCGCAAAAGCGGCATGGGTAGGATATCGATACATAAATATACATAAATGATCAATGTTTGTCAAAAAATAGTTCTTTAAATAGCGTTGTTTTTTTTACCTGGCAAATAGTATTTATAAGACAGTATAAATATGAACATTTTCCTTTTTAACTGCAAAAATGAATTGAAATTAAGACACATAGTTATTTTTAAACATTACTTGTGAATTAGTAGACTCTTTAGTGATAGTCGACGGATTTTGTATCAGTCATATAGTTACAAAATAAATCAAGCGGCAATTCTAACACGACCCGCATTTTTCCCTATTGAACATAGAAGAACCGAAAGTGTGTATTATTATGCTATAAAATCACTGTTTGACGTTCTATATTTAGATATGTGACGTAATCATTATACACGTGACGTAACCACTAAAATGTGACGCGCTGACAATAAGTACGGAAACAAATCAGGCTCAGTTTCGCTATTTATCGTGGACAGCAGTATTTATTTGTTGATGTCGTGTTAGAATCGAAATAATATATCCAAATCGGTGATTTTATTGCTTGATAACATCACTGTTTGTCGTTCGGATGCGCATCATTATATCACTCGAGCTACGCCCTCGTGATATAATTCCCCGCATCCGAACTCCAAACAGTGATGTTATTGAGCAATAAAATCACAGTTTGGGATATATTATTTCTTAAATAACATACACATTCAGCTAGCGGACATATGTTAGTTACTTGAAGCTGGTATCAACTAGGGTTCTAATGTCCAATTGGAAAGAGGGCAATGGAAAAAAAATAACACAAAAACACATACATACACAGAAATACAATCAATTGAATTTATGGCACGTTATACCAATGTAGAAAACATCGTCATTTTTGTTACTGTTTCTCCTGAACACCATACACGTTATTTGTTTGAAACTTTCTAACTTCAGGTCCAAGATGATGATACTCATTATCTTCAAGTTCTTCACCTCGATTGTAGATGTTGTCTGTGTGTCTATCATTGTAACATGTTTTAGTTACCACGATACTTTTATCATACATTTCATCAATCTCATCTTGACTTTTTTCTGCCCGCTTGCTTTTATTAACAGCTTCGGCATGATCATAAGTAGCTTCAGCTTGGAGTTGGTTATAAACATTGTCTACTAAAACTTTTTCATATTGTGTAATATCTTTTGTGGTATCATACGTCAGGTCACCTGCTGCTGTATCATATGATTCATCAATGTTGACATCTTGGTACTCTACTGGTTCAAGAACAAAATAGTTATTGTTTCCATTGTTGTGCTCTGAAACTTCATGGTCATCTTTCTGATCATCGACTGTTGTTTTCGTTTTATTTCCTTTATTCAGAGCTTTTCTGTTTTTGTGTTTATTTCTGTTGAATATAAAATATGTCCTAGTACATAATAAAAAACTAAGTGTAAACATGATTAGATGAAGGGAACTTCTGTAAGCTTTCAATAGTTTCGGTCTTCAGTCTTAAAAGAAATAAGAAATGGATATACTGACGTAATGTGTGTAGAAACAAACGCAAATAAATTAAATCGAAACAAGGCAGGGTTTTTTACAAAAATTCAAATTCATTAGCAGAATGGTATGTATTTTTTTTAAAAATGTGACTTTTTCACAGTAGCATATCTTATCAAGCAGAGTAAAACTTCATTTAAGTCTTGTATAATCTTAAAATAATAAGACATAAACGTAAAAGCGAATGAACTCGTTCAAGTACTTTTTACCATTTCTCTAAATTTTGCACTATCAATCAAAGGGTAGTCATTTAGATGGATAGCAGAAATTATAAGGCTTTGCTAAACTTTACTGTGAGCTACCTGCCATTGAAACAAACCAGATTTTCACCATCTGATGGGAGATAACTCGAAAAACGATCTTGTTTCCTCGTTTCTGTTATCATATTCTAAGATCAAGCAAACTTGAATATAACTACTGTAATCGAATTTTTTCATTCTCCCTATGTCTATATGAGACTGTAGCATATATACGTCCTCAACAAGCATGAAAACAAAATTATTCATAACAATTCATAGCCAATTATGTACATGTTTGCATATCACACAAAACTCGAATTTCTGATACTAGTAAGCAAAGATTTTTACTTGCAAATTTCTATCATTTCAGTTCTTTATTAAAGTATTCTTATTACATTTAGATAATTGGTTTACCTTCGCCAGCAGAAACATGCCAAGGACACAATGATCAAAGACAGCAGAACCACAGAAACACATACTCCAATAATAACGTATTCACTTAACGAACTCTGTCCTACAATGAAAGACACAACTAAATTTATAGTCATATCGAGACTAACAGCCTTTTTGTAAAACCTACTAGATCAATAAACTGCTATTCCATTGTTATTTTCATTTTGATTGGGTCTTACGTCGCACAAACAAAGTAGTGGTCATATGGCGACCTTTCAGCTTCACTGGTGGAGGTTGACCTCAGGTGCCCTTTCGTACATTACATTACGAACGGTCGTTACCTAAGTAGAACCATCGACGTTACGTTAGATAGCTTGGTAGCTTCCTCACATGAAAGAATCCAAAGTTCCTTGCTTGATTTGAAACTACGGCTGTGAAGGGCAAGTGGTTTGAAATCAATAAATTTGCTCGATTACAGACGCCAGCTACACTCTAACTTGCAGTCTGATCAGATTCTCATACAATGCGATTACGTGTTTTTGATCTTGAAATTTTAGAAATTATAGAAATTAGTAACAAAATTCAGGAGACGTTCATTTTTAAATGTAAAAAGAACATATATATATGTTAAAATTGTGCTTAAAGCAGCACGCCTCCAGATTCATGTTAATTTTCATGAAAATTTTGAAAATGTATTTGAATGTGTAATATTGTGAAGTAAACAAAAGAAAGCAAATTACACATTATCAATGACAGTTTCAAACCACGTTAATTACCAAAAAATGGTTAAAATATGCATAAATAACCTTTACTGCGTTAGAATAGAGATGTATATACTGAAAAATCAGTCATTAAATGCACATAATTTGTAAAATATTACTTGAATCTTGATTATTTTTTACTTTTCCTAACATCTTAGTACATTTTTCCAAAGTTTGATTCTATTGAATAATTTTGACTCATCTGGAGGCATGTAGCTTTAAAACTTACCGTTTATATTTATGGTAGTAGAAGAGACATTAGAGGAAATGGTTGTGATGGTTTCTGTAGAAGACAATGTTGAATGAGTTGATTTTGCTTTTTCACTATTTTCCCTTGAAATCAGAGTACAATGCAGTAAACTATAATTAAACATTAACCTTTATTGTGTTCTTGAATAGTGGAATGGTGGGGGAGAAACATATAAATACATAGAATGTCAGAATGTGTCATTGTGATATAACATTCAATGACCATAATGAATTGGGTTCTTTTACAGTTGAAAAAATGTACTTAAACATTCGATTTTAGGACCTCAACACTATCATTTATCATCAATAGTAAGGAAAATCCTGGAAAATTGGTGATCTCTCGGAAGCAATGACAGCAATATGAAAATTGCAGACTCGGTTTAATTTGAGTCTGGTCATGAAAGATAATTTAAAAGGGCAACATCTTTTACACCCTCTAGCACCGGCTTGAAAGAAAATCAGAAAAAAGTAAATAAGTAGATTTGAAAAGGTTTCTAAACACGCATTTAGTGAAGTACGGAAACAAAGCCTTGTTATGTTTTTTTGGAATTTTGTTGTTGTTGCTTTTTTATTGTTTTTTATTATTATTATTATTATTATTATTATTATTATTATTATTATAATCATCCAATATACACATAACAGGAAAGTACCATATTAAAATTATTGCTTTTTTAAATAACTGAAATAATTTTAAATAATCTTTGGTAGACGCCAACCTAAGGATTATTTATGTGAATTAACATCAAAAGAAAAATCACGCTGTATGCGATGTGTCATGTTCAATTTTTATTTCTGGAAGTTATGAAATGTAGTCGTTTACCTGCTCTCCCACCCCGCGCGCACACAAACACACACACGCGCGCGCACACAAACACACATACACACACATACACACAGGACCTAAGTGTCCGTGTTTGTATAATATAAATAACAAATAAATATTTGAATGTTGAAAATCAAAATCTGACCCACAGTTTTTGACATGGAACTGTCTTAAATTCATAACCAGAGTTTCTCATTAGAATTCCTTTTTGTACAGCATTTAAAGATAATCTTCTCTATAAATTTTGATTTTGGCCCAGTAGTTCTCAATACGAAGTCGTATACGCCAACACGTGCGACAAACAAATGGAATCACAATAGTTGATGGACGACCACACGTGCGACGTACAAATTTCAATCACAATTGACGACAAACGCCCACACGTGCGACGTACAAATGACCATCACAATTGTCGACAGACGCCCACACCTGCGACGAACAAATGGCAATCACAAGCTTACCATGAGCACTGTGTTCTCAGAACATCTGAAGAAAACATAATAAATTGACGTTTTATGGTTTAATTATTTGCACTTAAATAAGATACGTTAAATCTAAATTGTACCGTCATCACAGAGTCTTCTATGGTTGAAATTCATTTCTGTAAATTGCAATTTCACTTCGTCTTCATCATTTCTAGTTAAGTAACCATAAAATTTTTGATCCTGACGTCGTTCAGCTGAAAAAATGTACAGCACAGTAATTTCTTAAATGTGTAATTATCAACTAAGTAACAGAAATATATGTGTATGTAGTTAGTTCATAAGTGCGAACAATTATACTTTGTGTTCATTTCACCATTATTGTTCTAATCAAACGCAAACTAATAATTATATAAATGATAACCTTTAATTACATACAATATACATTTTGTGTATTAAGTTGTGTGTTTGTTTCCCTCATATACAACTTCATAAAAATGACATTAAACGAAAAGTATGCATTAAAATAAACGTTTATAATACGTTATTTTTTTCTATTGAATATTATTTTATCAAAGTTAAATTAAATAAGTTTTACTACCAGGAATGCTTGAATTGTATTTGTAAACTATTTTTGTTTTAAACATTCCAGTCCACAGTCGAGATCCACCATGTCGATGAATATTATTTTGGGGAAAAAAACAACAAAAAAGGCTTTTTATCAAATTTGAAATAAATTAGTTTTATTACCATGAATGATTGAATTGTATTTGTAAACTATTTTTGTTTTAAACATCCCAGTCCACAGTTGAGATCCGTCTTTTATTTTTACAGTTTTTGAATTTGAATACTTAGTTGGAAACATTTTATATGTAAAACAAGCATTCGCTGCATCAATCCATGTAAAGTATTGTTGACTTCCATGTTCTAGGTTTAATGTTTGAACACTACCTCCTATTTAATAGATGAACATGAAAATGAAGCGAAAGATAGTTATAAGTACATTTATCAAATAACTATAACATCCAATTTTTGAAAAACAAAATATAATACTGAAATTAAAATAAACAGTAAAAAAATAAGAATTAAAATTGAATGCAATGTACGTATATACAATATTTTTAAAGATAATAAAAATCATAAAAATTAACTTAACTTGCTTACACAAAGATATCAAATACAGCACCTCATCTTGTCAAAATTCGTTGGTAACAAAAGTATACTAGTAGTCAATTCAATTGCTTTCTTTTGTAAACATTAAAAGTACCTCATAATTTTGCAGCAAGTAGTGTACACTTAAAACATTTAACTATATAAATAATAATATACGGAAATATCAATTTACTCATGTTTTATAATTTGCTAAAGAACTACAATAGAAAATGTATTTCCAGTGATGTCTCTCGTAAACCTTCATTTCGAAAAAGATAGTCTCAAATAGAGAAAGAACATTTAATGCTTTTTTAATATATATCATTTGTTTTTGGATGAATATTTTTGCAATATTATCAAGGGAAAGACTGAGAAATGTTAGCTGTACCCCTCAGGATAAATACAGGCATTCTGACATTTTTTAAAACTGGAACATAAAGCTGAAGTAATGCATTTCTAAGTTTTATTCAATCATGCAATCATTAATATTGAGTATGTTTATGTATGTGTATACTATTGCCAAATTCGGTCAAATGCGTTTTACAACATCGACGGTTTGTTTACATTCAAAGGTAAACAAACTTAAACACAATGATTATTTGTATAATGATTCAATGTATACTTAACATTTGCACACATTGGTACTAAGGCAAAGGTACATTCATCCCAAATAAAGTCTTTTGGAACGGTAGGATTCAACGATAGACAGTTATGTCCCTCCTCATTTGCATTTTGTATTGCACTAGCTGTGACTGAAATAAACAATATTCCAACATCAATTTTAATTCTTATGGTCTCATCGTATGATATCGTCTTTGTTTAGAGTCATAGATTAGTAATAATATCATCAAGAGATGCTGGGGCACGTGACAAATATATCCAGCTAGCTGTGGAACGTCGGTGGTTCTACTGAGATTTTCCTCAACCAGTAAAGCGGAAATGTTGCTATATGACCTACACTGTGTCGGTGTGACGTATAAACATCAAAACAAACAAAAACAAACTAACGTTACTAATAACTCATCAACATACAATGAGACAGTTTGGGAATATTATCATTTCTTTCTAACATGATAATAGAATGATAATATCTTATCGTAAACATACTTTAATAAAGTCATGTCGATAAGTTACTGCATTTCGAAGTTAAATGTGGGTATGCATATGAAACAAGTACAACTATAGAGGAATTCTTATACTGTGGCACAAAACGTCATGTTAAACACAATATTGTAGATACTTAGGTAGAGAGCCTTTAGAAAACTTTTACGATGGTTCAGTTTAACTGGACCATACTAATCTGTAAATTATATGACTAACATTACTATGATACATCTCGGTGACATGAAAAAGTATTTAGTAATGCCCTTGATATGTCGAAGGAACTTACCTCTATGGTTAATTTTGTAAATTGATAAGTAAGCATGTTTCATAATCTTATGATCATAACCACACGCAACAATAGGGTGGTTACATTCGTTAGTACATTTTGTCTGTGTAGGACGTGTTAACAATATGTCTGAACCCAGGCAGTAACACTGAAATACATATCCATGGTAAAGATGTGACTGATGTAAGTCAGAATTTAAACACAACTTTAATTGTCAGTTTACGATGGAAAAAAACCCATAAAAGTGAAACATTTTCAATATCATTTTTGGGTTTAATGTGTTTTTACAAAATTGGAACTAGTGTTGGTTTTTTTCCGAGCTTTTTTTTTTGAAAAAGAAAGGGTGCACTTCAATTTGTTAAGATTTTGGGTAATTGGTCATTGACTGGTAAAAGACTGGTATTTATTTAAAATACTTTTTTTTTTATTGATTTATTATATACCGTATAATTTTGTCCCAATTAATTACTGCTTTAAAAATTTAAATTCAAAAAAAATTAAAAGTGGTTTAAAAAATTTAAAAAATGGTCAAGAATTTCTAATTTTTTTTAAATTCAGATTTTTAAATTAACAATAGCACTAACATATGAAATACTGTTATTTTATACATGTTTTTAACCTTTTCCTTCTTTTAAAAGAATGACGTAGTGTTTGGGGGTTTAAAAAATTACAATTCATTCATTTCACGCAAATTGTTTTCTCGTTAAGAGCACATGCATATTTTTACTTTGGGACCATACACCGCTCTCTACGAAATGGCGAGCTTAAGAGGGTGCTAGGGAGCATGAACGGGAGAGTTTACTTCCAGTATCGTCCATTAACAGGCACAATCAAACCAAGCCTGCAACATTTTTAATTTTGGCGTTTGGGCATTCTTTTAGGAATATTTTTTTTTCTATTTTAAAGGTCGCTCGTACTCGCATCTTTTAGTTTAGATTGTTACATAAATTATATCAAAATTTACCTTTGTTTTTGTAACGCCAACTATAGTGTGATCACCACATCCTGGAAAACAATGTCCAGGATCTCCGTTTATTTCAATAAAGGGATGTTGTTCGTTGTTTACAATGCTTTCCATCGAAACACATCCTAAAATATATAAAGGTGATTTTATGCTCATTTCATCGCTGTCAAATCAGCTAGATTAGTAATATATTTTAAAAGATTGACTAATGCTGATTTACAAAAAATTGATAATGAAAAATGATACAATATGGATACGACCAATATCATAAAAAATTTGCTCCACTTCTTAAAGAATTTCTAAGATAACGACACATTCTGAACGATATTTTTCAGAAACTTTCGTCAGTCACTTAGATTATGAATTATTTTTCTTAGTAAATAAAGATAAGTTTAAACACAACTGCAGCAACATGTCTAGTTATTTTGAATTTTACCTGGACACTTGGATGGGCATAATGTAATTTTTACTCATATGGGTATATTTGCCAACATGTACATTGTAATAAAATCTAGCATCTGAAATATTTAAACTAGAAGCTCGTTTATATACATGTGCTGTTACAAATATAGTTTTCTTCAAAATTGTCAACTGAGTGCAATGTCAGTACGAGTTCCATATGGAACGCCTTGAATCCATTTGACGCATTGTCTATGTGCCCGTCCCAAGGGAAGAACTGTGTCGCGGTGACTCAGCTCCATAATTCACTGGGAGAACTTTAGTTTCGTAAATATTCCTTGAGGTGATAGGGTTTAGTTCATTTTTCCCTCTTCCACTATTAGTTAAGCTAATGAATGTTTTCCTAAGTTTATGGCAGCTTTCGGTTATGTTTTCGCAAAGATTCATGTCATTTGTGCAAAGAATGCCTAGATGGGTATATGAGTTAGTTTCACTTATAATTTTATTTCCAATTTTTCATAGTCTTTTGTTGCTACATTTATCATTAAAAACGAGAACTTTGCATTTCGTTGCGTTATAAAAGTAACGTTCCTTTTTGGCATAATTAAAGCATGTTCATCGAGTCCTTTTTTGACATTTGAAATGATGACCACATCGTCAGCTGAGGTTGGACATGCACATACTATGTTGTTGCTAACTAATGTTTTCAGTATGGCCTTGCTGATTTGCATATTATAAAAACATTAACTAAATGACGTATATAAATCATTTTTACTTACCTATATACTCAAATACTCTCAATACCTGATAATAACCCACCCATACTTTGTCATTGGACGGCAAATCTACATCAAGATTTTCATCAAGGTAATAATTCATGTCAGTACCAACTTTTACTTTTGGTGTGGCTGGAATACAAACATTATTGTAACCTGGCCAGACAGAGGTTTCAGTAGATATGTAGACCCCG